ATGCCTATTATAGAGATTGTAAGACTGGGTAATATTGTATACTTTTTTAGTCAAGATAATTATGATTATTTATGTGACAGCTGCATGTGAAACAGTAACTTAAATATTACAAGCTACATATTACTTCATAATTATATGAAAAAAAATTCAGCAGGGGCATGAGAAAGCTGGGATTCCCCCTAAACTTCAGTTCCCCCTCTATAATAGTCTGGGTATATGAATTTAATAAAAGTTTTCATGATGTTTTCTGTAATTCACTGTTATTTACCGTATAGCGGAAAATTTTCGTGGCCCAAAATTTTTGTGGATCCGTCCAAAAATCAATTTCGTGGGTTTAATTTTCGTGGTTTTCTACAATTCAGCCATCTTAAACCGTATAAAATTGATTTTCACGGATTTTATTTTCGTGGATTTTGAAAAAAACGCAAAATCCACGAAAATTTTGGGCCACGAAAATTTTCCGCTATACGGTATTACAAAAACACACAATTGAAATCATGTGTATTTCATGCCTAAAAATCAGCTTTCACTTGATTAACGCAATATCACAAAATTAAAATTGCCCTGTTATTATTAATTTTTTCATGTCCCCCAACAAAAAGTTCCTGTCTAAGTCCCTGATTAAGCATGCATTAGTTAACTTATTTCACTCTACAGTATCTGTTGTTACTACTAGTCACATCATAATGCTTATAACTATAGATGTGTCTACATGTATTAATAGCTAGACAACTTTCTGGGCTATAATTTTATTTCTAATATAAACTTACCTTCCATGCAGCAAAACTTTTTTCCATGCCACGAGGATCAACCATTCGGTCATCATCAACTGAAAATATTGCTACAAGACCAAGTGAGTAAAATATTTAAATTATGTGCTTCCTTACAATACCTTCAGTTTCTATTTCTGGGTAAGGCCAAAATCGTGACGTTAAGTTATTTTCTTTCATAATCTTAATCTTCACTGGTACTCGACATTTAAAATCCTTTATCTGATCAGGCACTGGCTCCCCAACATTATTCCACAAGACTAATATTTTATGTACATTGGAAATGTTACAATAATGACCTATGATAATAGGCAATTGATTGCTACGGTTATAAGTTGGCATGACAACAGTGAACTTGTTCCTTGTGTAGTTTTTGGAATAGTTAAATGGTAGATAATCATATTTAAGTCCTTCAGGAGGGCTGTGAGAGTAGGGCTTTGATGGACTATAGTAAGCAAACATGTTTGGAGCACGAGCATAAAAATATAATCCAAGAGAGTTAATTATTACAAAACCAATCAGAAATATCACAGCAGCTTTAGTGAAGGCTGTAGATAAGAATCCCATGATTGGCAAAGAATGAAGGAGAGAGAGAACCAACTGAGCCTGTAGAGCAAATTGACTGAATGCTTTTAGTGTAATCCCACAAAGTTGAGGCAGGGGCTAGATCTAAGCAAATTATAGCTAGTGTACATAGTAATTTTCTGTTGCCAATAGAAGCCAGTGAATGGCTTTTGATGGGCAGACCGTCAAGTTGCGCATTGTAACAATACTGTATGTATAGATCTATCAAAGCTAAGGTAATCACAACTGAAACATACAATATCTCATTAGCACTTAAATAAAAATTGGAGCTGCTTTCTTGTGCAGAGACTTGTATAATGTAAAAGATAGTTTTGTTATTATTATTGTTTCTTGTGTTAGCATTTTCTCATTCTGCTATGATCTCCATGGCCATGCAGAAGCTTGTGGATAGTTTTTGTCTAAGAAAATGAGCATTCTGATACAATTGAGAATATTTTTGGCTGACAAAACTTGGAGCTTATTATTTTGACATCAAAGTCAAAAAAATTTTCATGCTGTGCAATAGCAAGTCATAATTGTGACTGTATTTTATTTTCTCTTGCTTATTTGTTTTTTGTTTTCCTTTTTTTCCTCTTCTCTTTTTCTTTTCCTTTTTTTCCTCTTCTCTTTTTCTTTTCCTTTTTTTCCTCTTCTCTTTTTCTTTTCCTTTCTGGCTGGCCATGTTAAGTGTTTCTATTGTCTTGCTTTGTTCCCTCCTCCTACTTCTCCTGCTGCTCATTGTCACTGTAAAGTTTAAATAAAATAAATAAATAAATGAAATGCCAGGAATCAAACAAAATTACGAAAATGGTATAGCAACAATTATTAACAATATTACTAATAATAATACTAATAATATGTGGCAGTTTGTAGTATCTGTGGTGTTTCTGAAGCTGAAACTAGCATATTCATTAATATTTGTGATTTGCATAGGTGCGTTATCATTTCTGGCCAGTTTGTATGTTGTTGTAGTACTAGTAGCTCATCAACATCATGCACAGTCACAAATTGTGCTCTGTTCACATTAAATATACCGTAAATCAGAAAATTTGTGTGATAGAAAATTTTTGTGTTTTAAAATTGTGCTGTGATTTAATTTTTACTATATTAGACTGTGTCATATAATATTGAATGCATCTGGTATGTAATTTATGGGTGATCTATTTTTGCAAAATTCTAATCCAGTAAAATTAAAATCACAGTAACAAGCATAACAGTGGAAAAATATTGTGTATAAATAGCAAAGACCCCATCTCTGGGTCTCTGGTCGTAGAACACAGGCATCTTAGGCAGCATACCTTTCCTATATTCTTTATTAGTGGTTAGTTTAATGTATGGAGGTACTTCACTAAGAGTTACTGAGTCTTTGATTTGTTTCTTAGAATCAAAAATACAGTTCTTCAAATCTGCATATAGAGAGAAAGAGAAAGGAAACACATAAAACTAAAGACAATAACTGAAGTGAACTAACATATAAATACACATGCCAATCAACATGATACTTGCTTTATTGTATCTGGTTGAATTGTGCATATCATGTTATCACAAAACTCAATGCATATAAAATTAATTATGCATTTCTCTAAAGATATAATGAGGCTCAAGAGAAGAAAAGTCTAAGTAAGGAGGCCGAGGGATGAAAGGGCCCCTGTTATGTGAAACCCTAATTCTGAGCAGCATTTGCAAACTTTAATGAGATTGGGCAACACCCCA